AGAGAGAGAAGTGGTGAATATTGACAAGACGATGAATATGATAATATTAAGACACAAAGATTTGCACAAATATGGAATATAATTAATGGCATAATTAGGGAATGTTAGAAGTGGTAGTTATCACGGGAATATAGACCCCTGATGAGGCGCTCATTAGGACGTGGCTGAATTGTGACCTTTTATTTCATCTAAAATGATTTCTACCGTTCATTTTAAATTAATTTTTAAATATTTTAAATATTATATTTATTAATATAAAAATTATAAAAAAATTGATATTAAATCTGAACTGTTTTCCATACTCATTCAAGAATGAGAACCATGACATTTATCATCTCTGATGAGATCTGAACTATCTAAATTTAATTTTTTTATTTTTAATTACATTTATCAAAATAAAAATTTTAAGAAATATAAAATTTTTTAATTAATTTATTTATCACTAATTTGGCCAGTACAAATTTAATTTGAAAGGTCCAATCTAACATTAAAATTTTTTATATTTTTTATAATTTAATTATCCAGATGTACTTTGAACAGTTTAGATATAATTTGGATGACTTGATTTAATATTAATTTTTTAATAATTTTTATATATCATCTAGATGTACTATAAATACTAGATTTAACATCAAAACTTTAATAAATAATATTTAAATATTTAAAAATTAATTTAAAATGAAATAAAAGGCCACAATTTGGCTACGATCACACCGAATGCAAACGCGAAAATTAATATATAGATGGGATGACTTGAGGCGTTAGAGATTGAGCATTAAAGCATTGGTGAAAGTGATATGATTTAGTGTGAAACTTGACATGTATGCCAGTAGAAAATATTAATTATAGGAATTTGTATTTAATTGAAGGGATTTAGTTTGGGATTGTGTCATGATGTATGATGAGAAGATGACCATATGGATGGGAAATGAAGATTATGGGATGATGGAATGGTACATTCTTATCATGAGGTCGTTACAAGAGCACGTCAAAGTGAGTGTTACAAAAAATAGACACTAGTCTATGAAGCGTTAATTTATAAATATAACTTGTTTTAGGCTACATATTTGTTTTGTTTGCATTAACTTTAGAAAAATGATAATAAAATCCCTTCAAATTATATAAATAATAATATGGTCTGTCAAAATATTATAATTATAATTTTAATAAAGTCTTTAAAATCATCTGTGTCAATAAATTTTAAAGTGAAAAAAATATTTTACTTTATTAAAAATAACAAATCTCAATCATAATTTTTATTTAAGAAATCACAACATTTATTCTATAAATCACAAATTATTGAATAAAAAATTATAACTAGTCAAGTGTAATTTTTATTATTGAAAAATAAACTCCAATCATAACTTTTTTTTCAAAAACTAATAACTTTTGTTCTGTAAATTACAAAAGTTAAACAAAAAATTATAATTTTCAAGTATAATTTCTATTATTGAAAAATAAGTTTTTAAAATAACAAACTCCATTAACAATTTTTGTTTAAAAAATTATAACTATTATTCAAAGAATTGCAAGAATTAAACAAAAAATTATAACTTATTAATAAAAGTAAAATGATCTTTTGAATTTAAAATTTATAAAAAAGGAAATCCCTTAAAACTTCATTAGAATTATGATATTTTTGAAGGGACCAGATTATTATTTATATAATTTAAATAAATTTTATTGTCATCTTCTCTTAATTTTAAAAAGGGATCATGAAATTATTAGTCCCTTAAATTTACCTCAATTATCAATTTCATCTTTTAAATTTAATTTTTATTAATTTAAGGGACGAAATTAGTCTTGAGACAAACTTGAGAAATTAAAAATTTCATTATTCTTTTTAAAAATATTTAATTTATTATTAATTTGAATTTGCCAATTTAGTGGGCCCCATGCCTGATGGATTAAATGAGTCCATACAACATGTATATGCAAGATACTCCCTCTGTCTCAAATTATAAAATAATTTTAAAAAAATTTTATTGTTTCAAAATATAAGACAATTTTAAAAATAATTTTATTAATAATATTTTTTCAATATTACCCTTCAAGTGAAAAAATAATTAAAGTGATATTGTATCATAATGATTATGTATATAGAAATATTTTTAAAGTTTATAATTTTATTTTGAAAAGGTAAGTTTATAAAATATCATTTTCAAATTTTATCGACTAAAATACATAAAACCCCTCTAAACTTTTAAGATAATTGTATATAATCTTCCTCACCTTTAAAAATTTTAAATTAACCTACCAACCTTTAATTTTATTTTTTAAACCCCCTAATATTAATTATGTTATTTTTTCATGAGGGTTAAATTATTATTCAACTAAAAAATGTTATTAAATAAAAATATTATATTGTATAATTATTTATAATAAATTTTTTATATTTTTTAGATAGTTGAGGCATTAATAACAAAAAAATATTATTATCATTGTATAAAATTTTACATATTTATGTTTATATTATTTTTATCAAAATTTTTTTAATTTTATTTTTTTAAAAGATAAATTTTTATTTATATTTTATTGTTAGATTAATGTAATGCACATGACTAAAATATTTAAAATTTTAAATATTATCATGTTAGATTAACTATCTTTTAACACTAGAAAACTATCCACCATTAATAACAAAAAAAAAAGATAAAATTAACACAAAAGTAAATATTTAAAATTTTATATGGTGATAATAACATTTGTTTTGGCTATTATCAATACCTCAACTATCTAAAAAATATAAGAAATTTATTAGCCATAGTTCTACAATATAATATCTTGTTTAATAACATTTTTTAGTTTAATGAAATTTTAACCCTCATAAAAAAATAACATAATTAACAATAGAGGGTTTTGAAAAATAAAATTAAAGGTTAGAGGGTTAATTTTAAACTTTTAAAGGTGAGAGGTATTATATGCAATTGTCTTAATTCAAAGGAGTTTTATGTATTTTAGCCTATTTTATATTGATACATATAATCTTATCTTAAATCTTCCATTAATATAAAGCAATGCAATGAGGGCTGGGAATTTTAGCGTCTAAGTTAACATTAATTGATGCAATGCAAGGGCAACAAAGACATACAATGAAAGCAATAGACTTTTCCTATTTTTGGCCAAAATGAAACCAATGAAATTTTGAATCATGAGATGTAAAAAGATGGGAATTGGCTTCGTGCTCATCCTAAGACGAGCAACATGGTGGTCCGCACCAAAACACTGCCTTTTGGCAGTTTTTTTTTTTTTTTTTTTGCTTTTTTAAACTACAAATTTATTATAATAATAAATAAAAATTATAAAATTATTATTTTAATATTTAATAAAAAAATAAATATTAAGATGTTAAAATTAAATATGAACAGATTAACTCATTAAAATATGACTTGAACAATTTATATATAAATTTTAATCTGAACAATTCAGAACTATATTGAAAATATTAAAATTGTAAATAAAAATATTTTTTTTATTTTATTAATTTTGCACAGTTGTTTATCTACGAGAGATAATATCATTCAAAGCATAGTCAAATATTAAATATAAGTACTTCTCTTAATAGGAATTCAAATATTGATTTATTACAATGTAAGAAACTAGTTCATTTTGCTAAATTTAACTCCTATTTTAAATTGTTCAAATCATTTTTTATTTTTTTTAGTACAGTTCTCAATGCTCAGATCAAAATTTTTATTCAAACTATTCAAGTTCAATTTTAACATCTTAATATTTATTAGTTTATTAAATATTAAAATAATATTTTTATAATAATTATTTATTATTATAATAAATTTGTGGTTTAAAAAAAAGTAAAAGAAAAAAAAACACTGCCAAACAACAGTGTTTTAGTGCTTAGCAAATGAGCACTAAACCGAGTCCAAAAAGATGAGTGATGTACAGGAATTAGGGGTGCTCACCCTTGTCCCATGTCCTGTCCCAAAAAAAAAATCGAGACTGAATTTTGATCCCATATCTTATCCCGATCTGAAAGTCCCCTCATCTCGTTAGGAATTAAGATGGAATTGGAACAAGACGTATAAATCACTGTGGGAGAAATGTCTGAATAATAACCTTTATTAAAATTTTAAATTACATAATTTATTAAATTTAAAATCAAAATAATACGAATACATAAATCACAATAATTTAAAGTCAATTATTGAATTACATCAATTATAACTACAAGTATATAACATATTATGATAACAATTATAAGTGATCTCAAGGTTATAAGAGCGACACCAACAAAAAAGCCAGGCACAATATCAAGTTATTGTCCTTCTTCTTTTGTTAAGATATAAATATAAAGCAAGAAATACAATATAAACAAAAAATTATTAAATATAAGAATATATTGTATTAATATAATTAATATATTATATAGAAAAATATTACCTTATACTACTCACTCCATAAGTCTATATCATTAAAATTATCAATATAAAAATCTTTTAGTTTTAAATAAAAATTACACGTATTGAAATTATAATTAATATGATTAATATAAATATAAATTATATTAATATAATTAATACATTTAATGTATATTTATAAAATAAAATATATATATATATATATATAATATGCAAGATGGGACGAGACATCTCAAGGGCAATCTTATGTCTCATCCTGTCCCGAACCCCTTTTCCATCCCATCTCGCAAAATTCCATCTCAATTATTTTTGAGTCAGAATGAAACTCATCCCGATATGACTAGGAAAAAATAAGGCCAATCAAGACAAGTATAAATTTAACACCCATAGCAAGAACAACGGGGAATAAGGAAAGAGAGGTGAGAAAAATGCAAAATGCATAAAGGGGAGTTTGGTTGGAGGGGAAGGGAGTGAAGGGATTTTGCCCACTCCTCTCTTGTTCGGCTTAAAAAATTGAAGGGGAGGGAAAATTTGCCTCCCCTCTCCTCTCCTCCCCTCAAAATTAGGGGGATTGGAAAGGGAGAGGTAAATTTTGTCATATCCTAACCAATATGTCCTTCATGATAAGTTCAAAAGATGCAGATATATTTCTCTAGTATCTCAACACTAATAAAACAAGAGTAAAATTGTCCACATATAATTATTTTTCTTTCCCTCCCCTTCTGAACCAAATAAAGTAATATCAAAACTATCCCCTCCTCCCGAACCAAACACACTTTAAGAAAAGAAAAACCTACGGAGAATTGAGTATGAAGTGTACATATTCCCACTTCTTCACTACTTCTACATTAATGATTGAATACAGCACTTACACCTTACAGAGGTCAATTCCAGCTTTCTTCGCAACAGCATCAAGTCCATTCTTCTCTATGGTCTTCAATGCCTTAGTCGACAAGCGAAGCTTTACATATCGCTTCCCAGCTTCCCACCAAACTTTCTTGTACTGCAGATTCACAAACTGCAGCTTCTTTGTTTTATGATTTGAGAAAGAAACTTTGTTGGCCTTGTTTGCTTTCTTTCCAGTGAAGGGGCACACTCTACCTGAAAATGATGAAACCAGATCAACAGAAGAATCAATTGCCTATCAGTCAATAAACACACTGACTATCAGCTTGATCATGATAAGTTTTCAGAACAGTTTTTTGTTCTGAAAAATTAAAAAAATAATTAAAAAAAAACTTGTTTGAAAATGTGTTTTTGATTATCTATTCTAAAAAACCAACAAGTAAAAAGTTGTTCCGAAGAACTAAAAAACCTGAACATTTGTTAAATGTTTTGTTGCTTTTGTTCTGCAACACTAGAGAAAAGAAAAAAAAATATCATGCTTTCATTAATGACAACTATGTTAATAAATTAAATTATTCTTTCACCATTTATTTCACCAATTTAGATATGTTTCAAAATAATGATTCAAACAGATTTTGTTGTTTCCAAAACTTGTTCTCAAAAACTATTCTACAGGATTGTTTTCATAACATAAAAACAGAAAACAGAACTAAACAAGCCATAAATACCTTGGACTAACGACTACCTAGCAAGACATCAAGGAAATAAAACCATAAAAAGCATTGTCTATCTTCTCTCATTCATTAAAGAAAGGGTTTGATCCACAATTAGTTTATCTCCTTGTGGTTTGAAGTATGTAATTTAAGAAGTTTCTTTCACTTGTATCTGACTATTCTGTGTTTCTAGACAAGATCAAGCGATCAATTTCAACTTTGAAAATTCTGCTAGGGTCCAACAACAGTCTTAAAACAGTATGGAATAGCATGAGATATAAAACATACTTCCAATCCATTTATTATAAATTTTCACATTGTTTATTTGTTCGAAATAATAAAAAAATGCACAAGGAGAGGAGAGTAGATTTAAGGCCAAACCATAGGAAATAAACAAACAAAAATGTCACGATGAGACTTTAAACTGAAGGGGAAGTTGGAAATAAATACCTCCAACATATGACTACTAAGCAGGGCATCAAGGAAATAAAACCGTAAAGCTACTGTTTATCAATGAATTAAAGAAAGGGTTTGATCCACTACTAGTTTATCTTCTTGTGGTTTAATGTAATTAATTTAAAAGTTTATTACACTTATACGTGGCTATTTTGTGTTTCTAAGTTATAGACAAGATTAAATGAACAATTTCAACTATGAAATGTCAGCATGATTTCATCTACTCTGATTAGGCCAAACCACAGGAGGATGGAGCAGATGTCAGTGTTAGTTTTTCTGTCCAATTGCAACAGAAAATATAATTAAACTGCTAGCTATATACAAGCAAAGATGGTCACCTCCAAGCAGCCGTTTCCCCTTACATATGTAGTTGGACATTCCTAACCTTTAGATAATTATTGGGTTAAGAGTCATTTTTTCCCTCAAACTTTTCACATCGGGTCTGCAGGTGTCCTGAACTTGATTTTGGGTCATTTTCCCTCTAAACGTTAAAAAACCCATCCATCAAGTCAAGCAAGCTAACTCAACTTTTATCCATATGTTTGTGGTCATTTCAATAGCATTTGTAAATGTGAGCAAAAGGAAAGGTCTGAAACTGGTTTCACGAAAAGCCTACTATTAGATCCCAACTTCCAAACCTACAAGAATAAGAAAACCACTAATTCCCCAGAAATTATAAAAACCCAGCAAACGATAAACGTGCTGTGTTTGAAAACTAAGAAGCAGAAGGGGAAAACAAAAACAAGAGTTACATGTAAGAAATGAACAACATACATGTACATACAGTGATCAATGCAGCTCATTAACTTACACGCATACAAAACAGAATTCACACTAATGCTAACTATCTCTAACAATATGCTTTGCTATGGATGGACACATTAGCTGATAATATGCCACTCAATGTGGGGAAAATTATTAATAATACCTACATGCAAAGCCATTTAAATCAGGAAAAGGGGGACAAGGGGAGGGAAAGGCAACTCAAGAATTCTCCATATCTAAGCACTAGATATTAGGATTTAAAAGAAATGACAGCTGGAAACGGAACAGAATGAACAATTTCAAAATATAAAGCAAGAATTTGAAATTTTATAAGATACAACTATTTACTCTAGCAGGTTGTTTGGTATGGATGATAGAATAGAAAACAGAACAAAATTATATATATATATATATATAGTTTTTTAGAAGATAATTGTCATTGAGGGGCGGGGGGTCAAGGATCCTTCTCCAATTATCCCATCGTAAGGGCTAAGTACTCCTTTCTAAAACTCAAGCAAGAGCTGAAAAGAATCTCAGTAGAACTAACTGGGTATTCAATAAAATCATGTAAACAAAGGAAGACAAGAAGGGAATAATCAAAGCCGAAGAGTACTACTTTGATGCAGTTTGAAAAACTACACAACAGTCACTTTTGGTTCTGACTAAAAATATCATATTGAACAAAAAAGGTTAATATATGCTCAGTAAAACTGACTCTACGGTCTACCATTGTTCAATTCTTCAGCTCCTTCTTCTTCTAGTCTTCCTTTTATAGCATTTATTGGAGTTGGAATAGAAGGTCAGAATCTTAGCATTAAAACATGATTTGGAAGCAGAAGAAGGTTAAAAAACAGTAAAGAAATATAAAAATCTAAGGGATTTCTTTGAATAGCACGAACAATTCAAGATAGAAAACCGTCCCAGCAAGTTTAGAGCTGCAATATATAACTAAACTGCCAAAAAAAAAACAGAAAATTTGTGAAAATGAAGTACATAAACTGAATAAGAGCAAAAGGGATCAGAAATTACGGGCAACAGGTAGAAAAACAGGAGAAGATGGAGCAGCAACCAAAGGTCTGGCCAATTTAGGAGAAGAATCGTACGAGATTTTGACGCCACTCAACTGGGAATAGACGAACCCTAGATCAGAGACAACATGGATCCTTGATGAGCTCGAACTCACTGGTTTGGGAAAGACTCGGCCGAACTTATTCCCAGATAATGATAATGAAGTCGCCGATGCTGCCATTACTTCTGTTTTTCAACGTTATCTCTTCTCTGTTCGAACTTGTTTCGGGAAAGTGAACGATGAGACGTCGAGATTGCCTCATCCTAAGGCGGGAACATAAAGAGCAGATCATGACCGTTCGTTTCATCTGATAAGATCCATTATAAATCAATAGGTTAAGGTAAAAACATACCAAAAACTTAAAAAAAAAATATATATATATATAAATAATAAAATCTTCTTAAAATGTATAAATAATAAATTAATTTTTTAAAATATTATAATTTCATTAAAGTTTTTAGGTCGTCATTAATAAATCTATATAAATAATTAAATTATTTTTATTAAAAATAAAACTATTTACATGTTTTTATTTAAATAATTATAAATTTTTTCTTATATTTATAATAATTTAATAGTAATTTAAAAATTTAACATATAAAGTTATCATTTATTATTACATTATTGCGAATATAAGAAAAAAATTATAATTATATAAATAAAATTTATAAATCATTTTATTTTTAATAAAAATAATTCAATCATTTATATAAATTTATTAATGATATGAAAGTCCTTAAAAATTTTAATAAAAATATGACATACTAAAGTATTAAATTATTATTTATATAATTTAAAAAAATTTTATTATTATTATTATTATTTTTCCATCAACAACCCATATCATTAAGTCAAAAATTATACATTGATTACCTATTAACCATTCAAATGGTGTCAACATTCTCTGTTTACATTTACTGTTAAAAAGAAAAAAGAAAAACAAACGTTTGACCATTCCTTTTTCATTGGCATGCAACCATCGTTACACCTGTCATTCACATTTGCATTGCCCTCCACCACCATACACACGCCTGATATTTCCCTCGTCTGCTGCCAAATACAAAGGGGCCCTACCCTTGTAGTCTATGGAATCCGACGGCCACGACATATTCCTCTTGAACAACCTTAGGGTGTCATCCGTCCAATCAAAAGCAACCGCCACGGGCAACTCGTCCTAGCCCTCCGAAGCCCATCTTAGTCTAACTAAAGTAGAATCAGTAATTAAAGTTGGTTGAATTTAATTTAAACCAGACTTATTTAAATTAAGTTTAAAATATCATGTCCTTTTAAAAAAACTCATATAGTTAAGACCGATCTTAATTTTTTTTAGTCAGGTTCAAGTTAGCCTGTCGGACTTAACCAAAATTACCAATTCTATATGCATATATGTTTCATTTAGTTAGTTGAAATTGAAGCTGGAGAAGTGGAAGTAGAAGTGAAATTAAAAAAATACAGTGTTTGGTACATTAGAACTCAATTCTTTGTGGAACTTACTTTTATCAAAATTGATGGAATTCACTTCCATGCTATACCCCAAGGAATTAGCTTGAGTTCTCTAGAAGTGAGATTTTTTGACCCTTATACCCTTAAATATTTTATCAATTGACAAATTTTGCCCTTTAAGGATATTGACTCCTCTTCTTCCCTATCGCCTCCCTTGCTGTCATGACCCCTTACCTCTCCACCGCCGCATCCTCCTCCACCTTCTTCGATCTTAGCTTCCTCCCCCGCATTCATCATTGAATAGAACATTGTTCGCCCAATCAATCAGAAGCCCTCAATCTCAAGAAAGAAAAGCTCAACCACTTTCCATTTTATCAGAACAACATCATCAGCGACCTTAATCCCACATCCATCCCTGTCATTCCTCTGTCGATAATTTACTTTTTGGAAATTTCATCCTCAACAGCTCCTTCCTTGTTCTCTGTGTTATTGATTGCATTTGAATCAAGATTTTGATTATCTATAATTGTATTTATTATTTTTATTTTCAATTTTGATTATTTCTGTCTAGATTATTGTTTTTGATTTGGGGCTTTGATTCTTGATTGATTGTTCTTATTGTCATGCCCACTGGTTCATTGTTGATTCAAATGTAAATGCCTACTCATTCCTAGTTTTAGTTCATCTTGAAATGAACCGCTGTTGGTTTATGTTGACGTTGTAGAGTGGAAGCTTGGGCTAGAAGGGAAGAATTGTGACATCCTAAATTTTAATCCCCTGATTAACTAAACTTAGTTAGGATAATTAAGCAAGTTGAGGCAGTGTGTGGTTAGGGAGGTCAAATGACCATATTGTTTGTGTTTCAACCTAAAGTGTGGGTCCGGTATCAAGTCATGCCACCTGGAGATCGAAAAGAGAAGAAAATGGAGATATAGTGTTGCTGTGCCACACATTGTGATGTAAATCACATTCACCGCGGCACACAAACACTGTAGATAGGAGAAGGAGACATCTTTGTGCCATGCATCGTAGTGCATTTAGCATCCGCAGTGATGCATAGTTCATTTTTTGCAAAAATAAGTCACCAGATTGAGATAGAAAATAGAGAGAAAGAAGGAGAGAACAAGAACCAGCGACCAAGCTCTGCTAGATTCATATTGGGATGTTTTAGAAGCTATAAACACACAAGGTAAGCATCATGCCTCTTAATCTCTCATTTTCTTCCACATTATGAGGTTTATGGTTAGGTATAATAGAGGAAGATGATTTCTAGTCCATATAGGTTATGGGTCCAAATTCATTAACTCAAAATGGAGTTAATGAGAGTAGATTGAAGTATCTAAACCTAGATATAATAAATTTCAATATCTTTGGCTGTTAGGCTTCATAAATATCCGAATATTGCATTAATATGGGTTGTTAGAAGAGTGTGATGCCATTAATAGAAGTTTAATGGCTCATTAATGTCATTGGGGACTAAAGACAGTTAATAAACCTAATGTGTAAGTCTAAAATTATATATAGTGGGCATTAGGTAATATAGAAAGGGAAGAATAGAGTTGAAATGTGTGAGTTTGACAATGTTAAATGAAAGTTAACTTGGTAAATTGTATATTGAGCTTTTAGACACCTATTTGGCTTGGAAATTCAAGCTTGGAGGCTATAAATAGTAAGGGATAAACCTTTGACCTCTCAAAAGTTTGAAGTAACAGGGGTAATCTTACTTTGGGTAGTTTTATGTTAATTGTGATGTGAATTATGTGTTTATCATGTGAATTATGACTTGTGAAATTGGGTAACATGCATTGAAATTTGGTGTCCATGTAAATTGTGTGATGTGTATTAAACATGTAGAAGTGATTGTGAAATGAGTTTTGAAGTGGTAAATGTGATGTTCAAAAGGAGTTTCTCTTTACAAGATGTTGATTTTGATAAAGATGAGTAATTGAAATTGAAAATGATGTGTTTATGTGATATAAGGGAAAATGAAACTTGACGCTCATTTGGATAGCACATGGTCATGAGCCCAAAGTGATTATTATGATAATAATTAAATGAAAATGTGAAAATGAGTGAAAATCATTTATGACATGATCAATAGGCGGGTGTTCGCCTAAGGATTGGGCGTAAAGGAAAAATTCATATAGTATTTACGCTGTTCTTCGATGCATGAAGGTATAGCCTTGTCCCACAGTTTGTCGAGGGACTGTCCCATAGTTAATCGAGGGACTAGAACTTAGTTATCTTTATTAGTTCAACGAGGAGAATAGCTTAGGGTATATGAAACCCTAGAGATTCAAGAGTGGTCGAGAATGAGTCATGTGATCTTTGGTTGAGTCATACCTCACGATTAGTGAGCTTAGGTAGTCCAATCATACGAATGAAGCCCTATTTAGTGTTATAGCCCACGGTTTTAGTTGGAGAAAATAAGGAGGGTATAAAGTTGGTTAATCATTACTTATGTAAATATATAACATGTCACACGTGTTGAGTTGTGACAAGTCATGTGATCTATCAGGTCATGATCATATGTCTAAGTGTCTTGTGATTATGTACCCAGCATGTGTGAGATGAAAATGTGCTAACTGAATTAGTAAGATATGATATGTGTTAAAGCATGTTTTAAGTACTTGGTTTTATATACATGTATTTGATTTACAATTGATATATAATTGCATAGGGTAGGTTTTACTGTAATTACTGAGTGGCTAAACTCACCCCTCGCCTTTAACATTTTTCAAGTTTTAGCTTTGATGCTAAGAGGGACAAAGCTATAGAGGCCTAGGAATCTATCTATTCCTTTTGTATGCCTCTTGTATCTATTTATTTTATATAATAGAATATGATTGCTAACTCTAGGTTGCATATCGTTGCACTTGCACTACTTTATGGTTGCAAATATCTGAGTTGTATTTTAAGCCTTGAGTATTTATGTATAATGATATATATATATATATATATATGTATGTATGTATGTATGTATGTATGTATGTTGATAAGGCCAAAATACTAGTAGTGCAAGTATAGAAATTATGTTTTGAACATGTTTGGATTAGTTTTGATGCAATGTAATGAAAATTACCTCCCCTGATGTTTTCAAAAAATTGGGATTGATGAGTGATTTTGTATTATATTAATATTTAAGTGTATGTGTCATGTTGTATTGATGGTTCTAGGTCTAATAGATATGGTCTATGTGTTAGGAATAACTTTTGACACTTGATATAAGTTTTAGACACCCTTTTTGTGTGAAAGTTGTAAAAAGCGGTAAAAAATGTGTTTAGGTGTCCAACTTATTGGTGTGACTTGTTTTGAAAGTAAAACCTATGTCATTAGCTAGTTTATGGAAAGAGCTTTCCGTAAACACCTATATCATGTCATTTGGACGTCGGATAAAGAATTAGGATGCATTGAAAGTTTTTTAATTTTGCTGTCAGAATCTACTATCATTTGCGTGCAACACATCATGGCACAGCATGCATAAGCCACAGCACATTGCCATGTCTTATAGCAAATGAGTTGTTCTTCACATGTTTTCACTCTTTTTCACTCCTCTGAGGTATCCCATGTTTCGATAACTTATTTTTTACTCTAATATAAGAGTTTATGATTGATTTAAACTCATTTTGATTAAGAAAACTTGAAATTCCTTGGTTTTGAATTAAAACTTGGTAATCTCCTTTATGGGTTAATCATTTGATTACCATAAGTTTGTTTGATTAATTATGCTTAGTAAAGTGAGATATTACAAGAATTGTCAAAGAAATATTGCCTTCAAATTTTAGGCTTGATGGTAGCTCATTTCCAAAAGTAGGAACAGAGGAGAAAATACTTTGTTGAATGCTTTACTGGTGATTTTATTTTTGACTCTTTGTTGTTTGATGGTGAATGCTTTCACGGTGGCTCTTTCAATCTTTGCATGGGATGGATAGATTAATAGAACACATTTGTTACCTACTTTTTATTTGTCAATTAGGATCCTTTTATTAATAATTTATTACCTTCAAGTGCACACATTGCATTAGATTTGGAATTTTGCTTAAGCTTCTAGGTTTAGTGCATTAAGGGCATTTTGGTCCAAAAAATGAAATTTTGAGAAAATGTACAAGAAAAATTGAAAAATTTTATTTTATGTCTAGTTGATGAGTGATAAAATTAAATTTTTAAAATTCATTTTAATTTGAAAGTAACTAAATAAAAAGTCAACACTTTCTTAAGTGTCTTAGTTTGACCTAGTTTTCAATTCGCTTTTGTGTGAAAATTTTTATATAATTTTGTATAATCTAAAACTTGGTTATTTTAATTAATTCTCCCTTCTAATTATAAATTTAATTCTGGACATTAACTATATTTTATTATATCACATGCTATATAATTGAATTATGTGATTTATGTGACATAGGTGGCATATGACTTATGCATCAATTGGGCAGTTGAGGTCAACGCTCCTTGAGGTCAATGGTTGATGGTTTTCACATGAATTATGATTATTTTGAGGGATTAAATCAGCTTAAATGATGTGGATGATACATGAGAAATTAGGCACACGTTGAAATCATCTACAAATCAATAGGAGGGTGCATTCTTACAAGTGTGACAAGACTCTCATTTTCTTTTTATTTTCTTTTTTCATTTTTTAATTGAGTTTTCAGCTAATGGGAAACACTTAGGAGCACGTCCATTCAACCCCAATTCAAATCCAACACTCATCTCATTCATCTCCTTTATTTTCTCTCTCTTGTTCATAGCGTTCTTCATCTTCTCTCTTTTGTTCTTTATTTTTTAGCATCCTAACCTCCATTTTCAGCCATTAAACCTCCACAAAACTCACACCATTCTTCTCCTCTCTTCATTTTCATTCCATCCCTTCCTATTTCACAAGGTTTTAAGCTCATTTTCTTCACCCCAAGTCCCATAAATTTCGGTAAACAAGCTTCCAACTTAGGGTTCTTGAAGATAATGAAGATTGGCTAAGTTTCTTGGTGGAATCCTATAGAGATGAAGATGGAGCATGAGTCTTAAGCTTCAAATTGGCTAAGTTCTTTTGTTTCCTATCCTCTTCTCTTTTTACTAGATGGTTATATTCCTTAATATAGGGTTTAATCATCTTAGCTTGTAAATTTTAATTTGAATTTGATGTTGATGTAAAGAGAGAGAATTGTTTCATTTAATTTCTTCCTTGGACAGCCATGACTGAATTTTGTCACTCTTTGTTTGGCACATAATTTTGTGTTTTTCAATTAATGAATTACTTATGTTAATATTGCATAATCTTGTGGTGTTAATGCTTGTATTGTTGAGTAGCTTAACATAATCTTATGGTTGCTCACATTATTGTTTTGACCATGGCTATTGAGAGGAGATTTTGAGTGAATCACTTGGCTAATTTCTTCACCAATTGGTTAATTAAAATAGGAACTTTAATCTAAGACCTAGGAAAATTAGCTAATTAGGTTAATTGGCTTAAGATAATTTTCTTAAGTCTAGTTAAGAGGAAAGGGAAGCTAAACTTAGACTAATCATGAGAAGATAATGAGTCTAAAATTAACTCATCTCAAGGGTTTCATTATTGTAAAAAGGGAAGTTCATTTCACTCACTTTCACTAGCATTTTAATTACTCGCACATTAGGTAATTAGTTTAGATAATTAGCTAGATAACTAAATTTCTATAACTTTAGGTGATTTATTTCACTAGATAACTTTTAATTAGACTTAAAACCAATCCTTGAGAGATGACCCAGGGGTGGCCCTATATTGCATTAAGGTTATCTTTAGTTTAATTTTGAGGATAAGTGACTAATTTTTATCATTGATGTTGAATGCTTTTTCAATTTTTTGGTTGGTTTTTGTTGTCCTTCCATTTTTGTGTTTGATGGTGGTTTAAGATTGTTGTAAAGGTATCTGATGGTGGAAGATATTTTGTTCTTGGAGGGCATTTTGGCATTTTTGTATTATAAATACATATTTTAATTGAAAAGTATACCCCATTTTCATGTGCATACCAAATATATTTAAGATCCTCTTCCTATCTCACTCTCTCTTCCACTTCCACTTCCTTTTTCACTTCCATTGCCATTAAAAAGTCTTCCATACTACCAAATGAGGCAATAGAGTTAAAAATTTCAACAGTTAGGCTTATTTAGATTGGATTCAATTATGGCCAAACTTATTCAAATTGAACTTAAAGTATTCTATTCTCTTAAAAAAGTCTATATAGCTAAACCTGACCTTAAATTTTTTGGGTAGGTTACTCAAATTACTAACTCTAAACTAGAGGATTCATGAGGAATTTTTTGGTGGGGGAGGTTTGGAAATGTATTTATATAAATTTACACGCACAAGCACATGGTAACATGCAAAGGCTACCAAAGTCATATACTACTCAATAGCAAGACAAGAAAGCACGCAACGTTTCATAACACAAAAAAAAGAAATGAAAAAACAAAACAGAGGCAGTAGATGGATATCGAACATAAGAAAAAAATAGCAATATGTAGATTTACATGGAATGTATATAAGCATATCATTTCTTTCTCCAATCACAGAAACACAGCCTAGGATTTAGGAAAAGCTCTAATACCAATGTGAGTAGAGGAGGAAACATAGTGTTTGTAGCACTAGAAGGGTCACTACGCCGAACAAAGTTACAGTAGAACTCAATTCTTAGTGTTTCACAGAAAATATTCACATCGAGAAAAAGAGAGGAGAGAATACTCTCAAAATGAGATGCACACGGTGAGAAAACGGTTCAAGCTACCTTCATATAGCCTTTATGCCTGAAGCACAAATTGGGCAACGCGTGTATACGGTTGTATCAACCGTTCCCACCCTTTTTCAAATAACAAGAGAAATTACACTTAAAAGCTCGGGTATATCACATACAAGGACCCAGATTTTTCTCAATATTCTAATAAGATTCAATTCTATAGTATATTTGGACTAAATCCACCAATGGTGGATAATCTAATATTTAATAAATTCGAATTGTCTAAAATTTAATTTTTAATAAAGAATATTTAATTTTTTATTTTTTCAATTTCAAAAGAATTAGCATTTAAAATAACATTTAACGTATTTAATTTTGAATTATTAAAAAAAGAGTTGTCCTCCTGCACTTCAATTTTAGAATCTCAACTCTGCGCAGTTATGTGGTAGCTATGTTAATTAGTTTAGGCAATTTGTATTGTTATACACGGAATTAATTTCCTTTTTCAAATTAAAAAATTTTTAAACGTAATGTTTAATCAACTTATAATACTACTAAGTTGATTGAGATAATGTGTGTGTGTGTGGTGTGTGAAAACAAAACTATAAAACAAGTTAATTGAGATAATGACTGGGACAGAAGTCATGAAAGAAACAAAGAAACAGACAATGAAAAGGAAAGAAAAACTAAAAGAGTATGTGTTGTTGAAAGTAGGAATTAGTAATGGAGTTACTTGAAAGGTTACCAAACATGATTGCAACATTGAACTTTGGTTTTACTCAAAGTGATGATTGATGAAACACACACACACATATATACACACACCTCCAAAGAGGCTATTTCAGTTCACTTTGGTTCTAATAACACAACACACATTCTCGGATATATATTTCAATCACTTTGAGAAGATAGGATCAGAGAGATCCATGGCGTTCCTAGATCGAGCTTCTCCTGGTCTCAGGGAAATCCTCCTCAAACTCTATCGGTAAGTAACTTTTCGTTTTGTACTTTAATTTGGTCTCAAGGCTCAATTTATTCTATTGTCTTGTTGGATATGTATTTTAAGACCATATATGTTTTTCTTACCCGTCATGCACCAAACAATAACTTAGGTGCTGAGATTTTTGGAAAACCATATGTAACGTACAGAAGCTTTATTTGTTCAAAAATGACCTGATATTTTTCCTTGGATGATTTTCCGTGGCCATGTACTACAAAAAATAAGATCATATACGCTTTGTTTTGTCTAATACATGAATTTCAGAAATACTTTTTCTGAATCACAATATAAATAATTGTTAATTGATTTGTGTTTTTAAAAAATTAATTTATGTTAATTAATTTATCTTGAATTTTTTTAAAATTTTCAATATTTTCAATTGTACCTGTGAGTGGAATAAATACAACATTTGTCATACCTAAATTACCCTCATTAACTATTTGGGTGGAGTATGGTAAAGTAAAGGTATAATTGAATATATATATATATATATAATCTACCAAATATCATAGAAAAAATGATAACAAAATACTTCTAAAATATATAAATAATAATTTGGTCTCTCAAAATTTAATAATTTCCTTGAAGTGCCTAGAGATTTTTCTATCATTAATGAATTTATAAAAATTATCAAATTGCCCTTGTTGAAAATAAATGATTCACAAGTTTTATTTAAATATTCATAACTTTCCTTCCTATATTCACAACAATACAAGAGCAAATAACAACTTCGCATGTTAACTCCTTATTTGCTATTGCATTGTTGTGAATATAAAAAAAAAGTTATAAATATTAAACAAAAACTTATGAATTATTTATTTTCAAGAAGGGTGATTTGGTAATTTATACAAATTCATTGATGACAGAAAAGTCCCTAAGAACTTCAGAAATTATGACAATTCGAGGGACCAAATTATCATTTATACATTTAAAAGAAAGGATATTTTATTATTATTTTCCTAATATTCTATATTTTAGATTAAAGGACAAAGCTTTAGAAAATGTTCTATATTTTGATCCAAAGAGAATGATTAACTTATATTTTTTTAATGAGATTTTATTCATCTTGCAAAAATTTAGACCCTATTAAATATTGAAAAATATTGTGGAAGAAACACAAAATAAAGTTGCTTGGAATGTAACTCAATTAAATATGGGAGAAAGATTAAGAAAAATTGCAAGAAATGTTGCATGAAGTGAAGTCACATTATTTATAGTTTTTTTTTTTTGCCACCAATTTATATTTATAGCTTTATGAGTAACTTGATTTCCTCTGGATTTTATATTTCAATGAAGACATTATTTTTTTTTTGGGCTAGAGATGATATTGGTAAATTAGGTTACTCTAGGTCATACAAAGCATGGGAGACATACTGTTTACATTTTGTGAACAATATTGTTTGATATAAATTTTACATTTTAATTTATTAATGATAATAGTGCTTATCAAAACTTTTTTAATTTTGTCACAATTACAAACTGTGTTCAACGAATTAAATTTCGTCATTGAGTGACATGAAAATTCCATTAATTTTGGGTTAAATATTGATTTTTTTAAAAAGGGACATTTTCTTAACAAAATAATAAAAAAAAAAAAAGACTTCATTGTCAAACAATGATGCCTAGCTATACACACTGAAAATCTTATCTTGAATTCATGACAGTGCTGAGAAGCCCTTGGAGATTGATCATCACATATATGAATTGGATCAGTGGAATACCATATTCAGGTAAGTAAATGAAATTCTTCCAATTTCATTAAATTGTAGAGTATATTAAATATCATATTCAAGAAATTTATTCCCAGATAAGGACGATAAGAACTAGTAATAAGTTCTATTAAAAAAAAACAACTCTAGATTTTCATTTTAATAACAACAAATTCCATGATCCTTATTGCAAATAAGTTTTTGAGTGGTTCTTAGATGTAATTCTCCTAATATAATTCTAAATCATAGTTTTATTTTTCAGAACATGATGCTAAAACCTACAGGAAACTATGAATTACTCTTTAAATTAAGTCAGAATATTAATTTCCCAAAAATTATATGGGACAAAAATACTTGGTGGAGTTGATACATGGATAAATTTGTATATGCAGCTGTAATTATCAAAGAAATTAACAATTTAACAAAAAATAATTTAAAGAATATAATACCCTAATGCTTTGCTTGGCTAGCAAGAGAAAATAAGAATTAGAAAAAATGAGAGTAGAAAAATGAAGAAAAAAAAAAGTGAAAGGATGCAATTTTTTTACATGCTTGGCTGAGTAAGAGAAAAACAAGGAAGGGAGAAAAGTTGTTAATTTTATATAGATAATAATAACTTTATTATTTATAAAAATATTTATATATAATAAAGTTTAATATTTTACATATTATATATATATATATGCAATAATTTCTATCATGTTTATTGTTTGAATAAAAACTTAATTACTAATTATTTTATCTTGACCAAAAATTATTTTATCCAATTTCAATTTTATTTATTAAATTATTAAATATATAATAATATTAAAATTTTGAAACTACAGCTAAATATAAGGAATTTAACTGAAAATTTAGAATTAGCACTTATCTAATTAATCTAAAAATTAAATATACTGCTTGCTTAATAAAAGTTTATAATCAAATTATAGCTATACTATAAATATAAAATTTTAAAAATTGGTGGGTAAATTTAAAAATAAAATTTTTTACTTGAAATCTCTCCATATTTAAAAGAAAAGTTAAAAATAAAAACATGTGAGTCTTACATGTTGTTTTTCTTTTTTAAATATCCCTTTTCAAAATAATATCATAATCAACTATTTTTTGCCTCTCTTTTTTTCTTTTCTTTTCTTTAACTTTTTTCTTTCTTTTTTCTTTCCCTTTTTTTGGTTTTGCTTGTCCGTGGGGCCAAATTCAAAAAATGTGCCTCTGTTCTTACTTGGGATTAGCAGCTTGATTTAAGTAGATTATATTGAAATTCAAATTTTTGGGTCTTATGGTGATATTTTGATTTTTTTTTCTTTTCTTAACATTAAAGGAGAATGGTAGTTAAGTCTCAAAAAAAAAATAACAATTATATATTCCCAATAAAATTTTCGAAAAATATAGTTGCAAATATTGATGTAAATAATCTTTGGTTTATTTTATTTTTAAGGAAAAATTTAAGATTTTTAATTTTAAGGGATTAAAAAATTTAATCAATCAAACTATAAAGAACTCAACTAAAACAAAATAAAAAATGAAAAAATTAATTTAAAATTGACGAAAAATAAAATTCCCTTGTCAGGTGACCAAATTTGCAAGTCTGAAAGTTAAAAAAAAAAAAATCAGCTCAAATTTTAAGTTGACATTTCATCTAAGGGCATTTTAATCATGGTATTATTTTGAAATTATAAAAAAAGAACCATGGTCATAAAAAATTTAATTTCATAAATTTGTGGTTCTGATTGATTATTTGCAATATTATTTGGAAGTCTTCATTGCGATTTTTCCAGTAAACAATTCCACTCCCTGAGGCGGTTTTTTTTTTTTTTTGGATAATTATGATTTGTGGGATGATACGGTTTTATTTTCAGTCTCATGCCTCAAGTCCTCAAGTAGCATTATTGTCAATATCTGTGCCGCCACTTTGCCAAGGACCGCAATCAGATCAACTGTCAAGTTACACCATCCAAAAGGTAAAGGGGCTTTGCCCGGAGGCTTTGGAGGTTGTTGATCCTCCTAAGGCAGGATACCAGCTTAGTCTCAACCTTAGCCTCAATCTCATTCCCCCGGCAATAGGTTTGACTTCTTTCAATTCAGTTTCAATTTCAATGCTAAGCTTTAGTACTTATTTGAATTTTAACTGAATATAATAGATTATAAAAATAATTAATTAAATGATAAATTTTAATTATAATTAATTATGTTATAACGCAATTTGTTTGGATACTTATTCTAGTAATTTTTTAACGATCTAAAATTTAAATTTACTAAAAAAAAAAAGAAGAGAAGAGAGTTTTATTTTATTTTTATTAAAATTTTGTGCCTTTTTATTATTTTTTTTTCTTAGACCTTTGTATGTAATTTTTTCATATAACTTTGTAAAAAAAAAAAAATGCAGAAAGCTGAGAAGCTGAATCATGCAGTTTGTGGGTGGGAAAAAGTTGGTGTCTGGGTAAAATTTTGTTTTTAATCCATTTTTTTTGCCCCTAAATTCGATTAATCCCTCAATTCAAACAGGCACTTATATGTCCACATGAACTAATTGTTATCCTGTACGGTTTTTGTGGCCGTTATTTTACAAACCGGACCAGAGTCATCAATAGCTTCATTTGAAAAAAAAAAACTGTTTTCTTGTTGATTTGGTTGGATAAGATTGAATCACTATTGAATTGCAAACTGGAAACCAAATTATTTTCAAAAAAACCAGATAATTATAAGCATATATAAAAAAGCTTAATTTTTTTTTTTCAAAAAGCAGAAAAAAATTTAAGAAGTGGATCTCCTACTAAAACTAACTTTATTTTTGAACCATTTACATGTCAATAATATGATTTAGGACTATTTTTTTAAAGATGTTGGAAGCAATATAAAATTTTATATTTACATTTAATATTATTTTATTTAATTACCACATCACTAGTTTAAGTTAGACCATAAAAACGAAGACCAGCCAACTCACCTTTTCGTTTAACATAGATTAGTTTCTAAAACATTGTTGTGACCTTGTATTCAAAAAAAGTTTTGATACCAATAATTTTTTTATTTTTAAAACTGATAATTTTTTTAATAAATTACATAGACCATCCTTAAAATAAATTTGTCTTGGCTAAAATATGTTTTTTTTTCCTCCAAACCCAATTATTTAGGCTAAAAATGATAATTTAGCCCTAAACTTGCATGAGTCTTCTAGAAAAAAGATAGTTGCTTGCTATGAAATAAACTAAACAAACTTTAAAAATGGCAAAGAATGGGGGAAGTTATTGAAAAACTGCAGCTAATGGTTTAAAAAAGTGAAGCATAGTCTCATGAAAAAAAACCACCAATCATGCCTATAAAAGAAAGTCACCCACACACATACAAATCTTTAAAGACATTTTACAACTCCTCAAGCTATTGTCTTGTGCAAAACTCAAAACTTTGACCTTGTGCCATTCTTTACTTTGCCCACGTGACTTCCTCATCTTCTAGTAAATTCAACATAGTACCCTTAGTGCGCCACACATTTAGTAGAGAGCAGTGAAGTTTCCTAAAAACTAATAGAGTGCCAACTCCTACTAGAACAACAATAATAGTGTGCCATTGCATTCCCTTTCAGTTTTCCATTTTTTATTTGCTATAATTTCTCTTTTCTCATTGTCAATATC